ACACTTCTACCAAGCAACAGTAATTTAGATCAAGCCAACTTTTCCTTTTTGTAAAACTTCTTCAGAGAATGACAATTACTTAACAAAGAACTCTGCTAATACTTATTACCAGATAAAGTAATCAATGGGCAAAATAACGTCAATCTTCTAACATTGAAACTTATAAAAATGATAATTACAGTAGCAAGAGATCTAATGAATCAAAATGAGATTACAGCAGAAGCATTTTAATCTAAATTTAAGATGTGTATTTTAAAGGGCAGTTTTCAAATTTTGAAGCATCAAAGAAACATGCAAACATACACTTCTATGTCAAATATTTAATGTATTTACACACACACACACACACACACACACACACACACACACACACACTTTTCCACAGTACAAGGTCGAAATCTCTTCTTATATACATCTAATTCATCTCCTTACACTAAAGGGAAAAGGAAAACTAATTTAAATATTTACTCCTTTAGCTGGTGTTCAGCTCTCTATTTCACACTCGAACTCTGAGAATACAAACAATCCCCTCACTGTGTGTGATTCTAATTTTACTTGTATTTTGCTACATACTGTAACAAGTGAATGCAAAGCAACTACTTATCTAGAACTCAGGGGATCAAAACCAGCAGTATCTTTTGATCCTGTCACTACAGCCCCAGCCCCCACCCCACCCCAAACTAGGAAGAAGACACAACTATATTAAAATTTTTCAGCATTAGTCTTCAACATGGTGTCTTTCTGAGAAATGTTCAAGTGTAGCTTTTTTCTAAACAACTTTGGCATCTGGGTTGCCTTTAGACCCAACCTACACACCAGATCCTACCCCATCTTCTGCACACCCATCCTTAACACTACAATCAAACTGAAAAAAAGAATTGGCCTGTGTGATACTAGTGGCAAAAGGCTAACCAAGCCAGCTTTTAAGAGTTTAGCTGGGCACACCTTTAATCCCAGCACTCGGAATGCAGAGACAGGCAGAACTCAGTGAGTTTGAGTTGTTTTGGTTTTTTAAAACAGAATCTCATTATGTAACCTTGGCTGGCCTGGAACTTGATAAACAGACCAGAGTGGCTTCAAACTCAGGGATCCCCTACCTCTAAATAAAGGCCCACCACTTCCCACCCAAGCCAGATCTGGCTTTTTGTTTGTTTGTTTGTTTTTTAGGCAAATCTCAAGGCACAGTGCTAGGTACTAAATAGGAGCATATAGTCAATGCAATAGTGTAACGACGTGGCACACAGAACGTAAGGCAAAGTAGGACACAGTTAATGCTATAGGAGGAGGAGCTAAGCACTAAGTACCCACCCACCCTTTTCATGTTTTTGAGATAGGGTTTCTCTGGGTAGTCCTTGCTGTCCTGTAACTTGCTCTGTAGATCCGCCTGCCTCTGGCTCCTGAGTGCTGGGATCAAGGTGTGGATCACCACACCCAGCTTAAACACTAAATTCTTGCAGGCAGACTAGTACAAGGCACCAGGCAGGGAAGCCTAATTCTTATAGCTGCTGTGACACTGAATAATGAAAATATTGGACATTTTATGCAGAAATATTACCTTCACTTATAGTAAATCACAAACTTCACATTCCAATATGAGAATCAAGGGGCAAGAGGCTTTCATCTCCAGAGAAGATGGACTAAATATTATAACCTGTACTCTACTTTTATGCTTAAAAAACTGGAAATGTAATAAAAATAATAATAACAGTAATAATAATAATAATAATAATAATAATAAAGGTTGAAAGATGGAACAATGAATAAAATGTTTGCCAAGTAATCGTGAAAATCTCAGTTTGAAGTGTTCCCTCCTGGATACAGGAGGCAGAGACAGGACAATCCCCAGAAGCTGTGGGCAGCTAGCTAGACAAATGTGATGTTATTCAACTAGAGCCCCTGTCTCAAACAAGATGAAAAGTCGAGGTGAGGAGAGATGCTCAGCGGTTAAAGAGTGCGTGCTGATTTTCCACAGGATGAGTTCAGTTCCAGGCACAGTACAGGCTCAGGATTGCTGTAACTCGAGCACCAGGGGTCTGGTGCCCTCTTCTGGCTTCCTCATGCACCTATATACACAGGATACACACACACACACCTAAAATAAACCTTAGAATACACACACACAACTAAAATAAACCTTAGAATAAAACACACACACATACCTACACACACACACCCCTAAAATAAATCTTAGAATGAAAATAAAGGTAGGAGGATCAATACCCAGTTGTTTTCTGATACTACATGCAATGTGGTGTATAAATCTACACATACGTACACATCAAACATACCACAAGCAAAAGTAAACTAATAGTTAAATCAAAAAGCCAAAAAGATGGCAAAGCCTTTGGATAAAATCTAGAAGGTGAAAACCAGAAATTAAACCCAAGATTGAAGTAGATTTCTTTCAATCTGAGGATTTCTCTGACCACAAAGATTCACTATAGTAGTGTTATGATGAGGGAACTGTCAAAGCTGCTCACAGGGTGTGTTGATAAATACTTCCCTACCTTGAAAGGAAAGGGAGATGACAGGAGAAACAGATCCATGGACAGTAAATACATGGATCACACAACAAATAAGCTTACAATGTTCAAAATAAAAATCAAGCCTTGAAATTAACAGCAAAAAATATGAAATTTTCTTTAAAGTGACAAAAGAAGACAAAAACTTCAGGAACTAAAAACTACCATAACTGAATTTAAGATGTCTGTGTTTAAGAGGGGCAGAGTGGTACACTCATTCATTCCCAGCACTGGGGAGGCAAAGGCAGGTGGATCTCTATGAGTTCCTGGCCAGCTTGATTTATTTAACCAGTTCCAGGATAGCCTGGACTAAATAGGGAGACCCTGTTTCAAAAAATAAAAACAAAGAAACGAAAAAGATGCATTTAATAACAATGTAGGAATTGAAGAGAATTAATGAAGAAACTATCCAATCTGGAAGGAGAATGAGGCAGAAAGATCTTGAGTTCTAGGCCAGTCTGGGCCACAAAGCAATATCCTGTCTCAAAAAAAGAGTAAAAGCAAGCAAACAAACAAAAACAGCCTAATGGGGATATAGGGTGAAAATGTCTATGGAAGTCAGTAAAGAAACAGTCTCGAAGAAGCAATATGGCAAATATAAGTGACTCTAACTTTACAGAATAAATCACTATTTCAAGGTCAAAGGACTACTTAACATTGACAAATGTAGTAGCACACATCCTATAATTTCAACACTCAACAGAAAAAAACATAACAAAAAAACAGGGGCCCAAGGTTATTTTTCTGTACATATCAAATCCAAGGCCAGCCTGGCTACAAGACCATCTAAAAACAACAATCAAAAAGGTTAAATACCAAGACAATTGAAAGAAAACAACTCAAAGTTTGAAGCATTATACCTGAAAACGCAAAACAAAGTCACAACACGCTTCAAAGCACTTCTGGGAGAAAGTGGTCATATTTAAAAGAATGAAGGAAAGGGACTAGAGAGATGGCTCAGTAGTTAAGAACACTAGCTGGTCCTCCAGGGGTCCTGAGTTCAACTCCCTGCAACCACATGGTGGCTCACAACCATCTGTAACGAGATCTGGTGCCCTCTTCTGGCCTGCAGAGATACATGTAAACAGAACACTGTATACATAATAAATCTTTAAAACAAAAAATAAAGATAAGTATGTCAAAAATGTGAACATACTAAAATCGCTTAAGCTTGCTGCCCTAAAGGCATATTACACTGTAACCAAACTTACAGTTGAACCATGCTGTTAAATTACTTCACTGTCAAAATATGGATGACTTTCAATTTCTGAAGCAGAAGATTGCCTCTAAGCAGACGTTCAGACCCTTGGACGGTGACAACCAGGTAAAAGGTCTTCACATAACTCTTCATTTTTTAAAAACCAGCTTTTCCTCTTAAATGCATTTAAGACTTCAACTTCAAAAGGTAACTGAGCCATCTTACTTTCCAGCCCTTAAGATATTCACAGCTTATCTTAGGATCTAATCAAAATACACAAGCAGCCTTTTTTTTTAAAACCCAATTCCTTGTATCAGAGAGCTCTACAGATTCCTTTCAAATATTTCAGAAGCAGCACCCTCCAGACCACTTTTGTTTATCCTGCTTTGTTTTCTGACAGAGTCTTGCTGTGTAGGCCAGACCAGTCTCCAACTGACCCCCAACCCTCCCCAGCCTCCATGGACCTAGGATTTCAGGATCACTAGGCTGAGCTTGTCCAAATCATTTTACGGTGTCTCTGGGGCCACATTAATAAATCAAATAACTTAACCAATAAAACCTGTCTCACAGGTTTACACACAAGAAGTCTCCGTAAATCCTAAACGACAGGTTCATATCAGCCTTTGTGGTCCCACTCTAGACTTAACCAGTCAGACTACCTAAGGGGTGAAGTACAAGCTCTGAATTTTAAAACCTGGTTTTCCTCTAAGAAGCACTTACTTCTACGTGGATTGAGACTCCAAGAGGCACCAACTCTCAAATAAGACATCTCAACTATCAGTCTTACTGGGTTACATCGCTGTGTTTCCTCTTAGAGGAGAACGAGCGGGGCGCAGCGACTGGGACACGGTACGCAGTGCTTCCCATCCCGCAATTACACTCTGGGGTTCAACGAGTCTCAATCGGGCACGCCACGTTTTCTCAGGAGCGTGGTGCTCTTCCGAGTGGAACAGAGGCGGCTGCTTACTTGAGGCCCGGATGGTTCCAGCTAGCAGAAAAGTGCTGAAAGCAGCAAGAGGCCCGACAGTTCTGGCGAGCAAGAAGGGGTCGGAACCTCCCACCGAGACCCACACGCGGTCCCGCAGGCTCCCGCGGCTCCGGAGGCTCGGGGTGGCCACCACAAACTCCCAGCCCAGGCGACTCAGGACACCGGGCACGGGCAAGGACGCGGACTGGAGACAAGCCTGGGCCCCAACCCTAACTCCGGCCGTAGTTCACCCACGCCTCGGCCAAGAAGAAGCCTGGTTTCGCCTGCAGACGCGGACCCAGGCCGCACTCACCTACCAGAGCGCGGGAGGCGAGCCGCCCTCACCTCCGCGGCGCCTAAGTCAAACCGCCGCCGCCAAGGCCACTCGCTCTTAAAAACATAGACAGGAAAGACAGAAAGAACAACGGCTTCAAGCAAGCAACCAGACTTTGCTTTTGTATTCCTTTTGACCCTTCGGGGCTTCCTGTTCCTCACCGCCACAACAAATTCCCACCCCGCTTCCGGCAGCACGGCCCAATCAACAGCTGCCTCCCTCCCGGAGCGCCTCGTGGAAATCCGGTGCTCCAACACCGGATGGAGGGATCTGATTGGGCCATTCACCCTTCGGCGAGGGGACTGGCCAGTTCATTCCAAGGTGGCGGGCAGAACCGCGGGATCACGTGACCCAGGCTCTGCGCTATGATTGGCTGCTGGAGAGAGAGGGCTCGCCCCCGAGGAAGGGGCGTTTCCTAGGGGACTGAGGGAGGGCCCGGGCGGTGCGAAGCGGGGGTGGGCCCTGCGCGTAATGGCAGTGCCTTGTCCTCGCGTCCATCTTTACCGCTCTCTTGGACCTGTCACAAAGGAGTCGCGCCGCTGTCGCCGTCCCCTCCCTCCGGTGGGCCCGGTAACTAGTGAAAGTCAGTGCCACAGCCCAACCTCGCTGCTCTGGGAAGCCCCTTGGGGACGTGGCCCGGGAGGGAGCCTACGGGCTAGGGACGTCTATGAGGGAAGGGAACAACCGCTAGAGCCCGGGTCGGAGAGACCGGACTGGGGCCGCGGCCGGCTCCGAGCAGGAGTCTGGGAGAGGGCGGCGCTGGGCAGAGCCTGGGAAGCAGCCGGAACGTTCTCCTCCGAGGCCCGCGCTGGAGGCGCCTGAAGCGGTTCCTGGAAGAGGGTGTTCCCCTGTGGGAAATCTTGACTGGAGGAGGTCCTGGGGTCACCCTTCCGAGGAGACTGCGGCTAACCGGGCCCAGGTGAGAGGCAGGTACCCCCTGGGGCGGCTCCCGCTGTGGAGGATCGCTGGTTCTGGCTGCTCGGAGCGGAAGGGGTCGAGGGGCGCACGCCGTGGGCGGCGGCGGGAGTGGGGGGCGTCCTTCTAGCGAGTTTGCGTTTCGGTGGGAAGCAGACTTCCCCTTGGGGAGGTCTGGTGGTGCCTTGGGGTGGAGAGAGGCTGTGGAGAGTCCTGTGCCGTAGAGAGAGGCTGGAGGCGGGAGCCAGACCTAGCGGATTCTCCTACTCTGGAGGCCTGAGCTAAAAATTGGGTAAAACCCTGGGCAGGGAAGATTTCTGGGCAGCTCTTCCCATTGGAAAGCCCGAGTTCGGGATAGTAAGCGGAAACGGGAATAGCCAGGGTTCTTCCCTCTCTCTGGAGATTGACCAGGTGTCCTAGACGACTGGGCTCTGCGCCAGAGTGGGACGCGGGAGTCGTCCCACCAGCACCCCCTGCGAGCCTCCAAATTTGGCATTACTTCCTGTCTGCTGTCTGCCTCGCTTTCTCTGTTCTTACAGGAGACCTAGGTAGAGCTGCCGGGCTGAAACACTTAGATTCCGTATTATGTGGGTGTCTGAGTGAGGCTGCGTCTCCTGGAGTGTTGTACTTTGAACTTTGAAAAGTTGGCAGTGTCTGTTATTGCCCGAGGAGCGTCCTGAAGTCTCCCAGGCCCCTAACTTACCGTCTGCTTGTCCTTGGTTGAAGTGTCTTAACAGCATAATCAATGCGGTGTGTGAAAATAAGGTAGTGTAGTGGATTGCTGTTGAGAAATAGTGTTTTCTGATCTGTAAAACAGTTGGTGTAAGAGATTAGCATAAATACAGGTGTTGATTACCTATAGCCCTCTGAGAACCACGCCTTACCGAGTGCTTCAAGGGTTACAGCTTCTTAGGTGATGTTACGATATAAACTCTGATTTCAAACCCTGCTTCCTTGACATGAAGAGGTTTCCAGTTTTTTTGTTTGCCGAGTTTTAATTTACTTTCAACTTCTAATGGTACTGGTAGGAGTTAGCATTTGCTTCAGGAAATTTTTCTTCAGAAAATGTGTTCTCAATGTTGTCGGCCTGTTTCTTGTATGTACTCCTGGCGTTTGGATGGTTGCAGGTAGTGAACACTATGCTGTCTCCCTCAGTTGTAATTTGTAAATAAGCCTACGTTTTTCCATCCATAATTCTGCCTTATGGTACCCCCAGAATATAGATTACAAGGCACTTCTTTTGATTTTTCATTTTCTGCTGAATTTGCATTTCTTAGAGTGATAACTTGCCTTGTAGATCCCTGTTATTATGAGGTTACAATAATAATACAAGAACCTATGTCAAGGCTGGAGAGATGGCTCAGCAGTTAAGAGCACTGGCTGCTCTTCCAGAGGACCTGGGTTCAATTCCCAGCACCCACATGGCAGCTCACAACTGTCTGAAACTCCAGTTCCAGGGGATCTGATACCTTCACACCAATGCACATAAAATAAAGTTAAATAAGTTATTTTAAAAAAGAACATATGTCAATGTGTGACACCTCATTAGTCTTTGCTTAGTGGTGCTTATTAGAGCTGTTTTGTTAGGGCTGGTGTCCCAAAATTTTAGGGATTTACTTATTTGTTTGTTTATTTTTGAGACAAGGTCTCCTTATGTAACCCTGGCTGCCCTAGAGCTCACAGAGATCACCTGGCTCTGCCTCCAGAGTGCTGGGATTAAAGATGTGCACCCCCATATCCAGTGAGGTCACTGTTTATGATGGAGAATCACCTTGAAGGTTTTAGAATAAGACTTTCTTTGATATTCTAAAATCTGTGTAGCTTTAAAAAATTATTAGGAATTCTTTCTTTTAAAAATTGATAAGCAAATTTTAAAAAGATTTTATTTTTATTATTTTTAATTATATGTGTGTGGAAGGGAAATATGGTACATGTATGCAGGTGCCTCTGGAGCTAGATGTATCGATCCACTGGAGCTGGAGTGTTAGGCAGTTGTGAGCCTTGTCGGTGCTAGTAACAGAACTTGGGTGCTCTTAACCACAGAGCCATCTCTCCAGCCCTTATAGAAATTCTTGAAGATGGTGATCTCTATTACAAACCATTAAATGGGAATTTTTCTGTATTTTCAGGTTAGATCCTTGTAAAGTAAAACTTAATATTCACCATGAGATTCTAAGTGTAAGAGGGAAGTAGGCAGGCACCACAAATGACCAACTGAATCAGTAATCAATTTCAACCATTGTCGTCGTCTTCTTCTTCTTCTTCTTCTTCTTCTTCTTCTTCTTCTTCTTCTTCTTCTTCTTCTCCTCCTCCTCCTCCTCCTCCTCCTCCTTCTCCTCTTCCTCCTTCTCCTTCCCCTTCCCCTTCCCCTCCCCTCCTCCTCCTCTTCCTCCTCCTCCTTCTCCTCCTCCTTCTTCTTCTCCTCCTCCTCCTTCTCCTTCTCCTCTTTCTCCTTCTCTTTCTTCTTCTCCTCCTTCTCCTCCTCCTCCTCTTTCTCTTCCCCCCTCCTCCTCCTCATCTTCTTCCTCCTCCTCTTCCTCCTCCTCATTCTTCTTTTTTCCCCTCCCCCCTCCTCCTTTCTTCTTTCTTCTTCTAGCTTTTGGCATTTTTAAGGCATCTGCTATTGAGTTGGATGAATTTTTTTTCTGCTATTCAAATTTTAAAACTGGAAAACTGAATAGTCAGGAAGTAGTGAATGCCAAAACCTGGGCCACAGCCCTTAGGAAACTTTTACAACTTTTAGTGGGGCAAAAGAGTCAGTATTTTCTTCCTGGAGCTGGAGTTACAGGCACTGGTAAGCTGCACAGCATGGGTTCTGGGTCTTCTGCAAGAGCAGTGTGTGCTCTGCTGCTGAGCCACCCCTCCAGACCCTGCTCACCTGCCTTTTTTGTGTGAGCTTTTGGGAACTAGAAAATATTTGAATAGCAAGAAGTTGATGTACTCCCAGAGTTTGGTAAGGACAGACCTCAGCATGCATCTTGCCTCCTGCTTGAAATGATAGTATCCAGGCATAATACCATAGGTCCTGTACACTTCAATTAGAAGGTTTAAAATTTCCTACTCAGCAAGTGTATTATTACTCTGTAGTTTATGTTTCAGAGTTGGGTTTTTCTTACTTCTCCCTCCTAAAGAATTAAGTTTCCTCTCCTTTGTTCACTGAATGCAGTATTCTCAAAATATGACTCTTACTCCACCCTTCCTCATGGGAAATACATCTCCTTTATTTAGTTCTTATTGCTTCATCATTGTTCATAGTTACAAATGCCTATGAACTACATATTAATAACTTTCCAAGTCAATTTTTAAGGCTTGCTAAAATATTGTATTTGTAACCTCAGACTGAAGCAATTAGAATTTACTGCAGTTGGACTGGGGAGATGATTCAGTAGGCAAACACATTTGCCATAGAAGCTTGAGGACCTGAGTTCAAGTCTCCATAACCCATGCAAAGCCATGGAGTGAATGAATAATCCCAGTGTTCTTACATGGAGACAGGAGGCAGAATTGGCAAGATTTCCAAAAGCTGGCAAGCCTGGTGTTCATGACAAAACAAGAGACTGCCTCAACAAAATAGGAAGGAAGGGCCAATGTCTGAGGTGGTCCTTGACCTCCACATATATTCTGTGGCACATATGCCTCTAATCACATGTAAACATGAACATGCAAGATTTTTTTTCCAGGAGAATTTATCATAGTCTCTAGTACCTTTTTCCTCAGGTAGTCTGTCCTGTGACAGTTGGCACCAATGAAAAACTTCTCACCTATCACTAACAGAATATGGATTCCTACAGTGGTTTAATTTGGTGTAAAACATCCATATTGTCTTATTTTGGATTTCTGGTCTTTGTTGTTGTTTTCATTTAACTTTCTAGTCTTAGCTTTATCAGTTTAATTTGTAAATTCTGTTAACCTTTCACTATGTGGTTTTTAAATTTCTGAATTTTTAGAAATTTATTTTTGTTGTCTGTGTGTGCATATGTGTGTGGAAGAGAACAACTTTGTTTCCTTTCCATTCTTACATGGATTCCAGGATTTCAGGTGATCAGGCTTGTGTGGGGCCATCTCACTGGTCTGTGCTGTGAAAATTTGAGAGTGTGTTGTACTAAGTGGCTAGTGCTAATTTATAGTCTTCTAAGAACTTGCCCATGCAGAGATACTTCAGTGGGATCCAGTTCTTTTTCAACTAGAAAACTGGTAGGGCCGAAGTCTCCTAGTGGCCCTCATGTTTTATCCATAGGCTTTGTTAGGGAGTTAAGTGTATTGGCTATAGCTGTCCCTCATCCCTAACCCCAGCTCCTTTTGCCAAGAGGACATTTTTTTCATCTTTGTTTAGTACCTGATATATATTAAAGCTTTAAACATTTTGTAAATATTCTGTTTTTTAAA